CAGGATGGTGTCACAGCCAAACTGGAACAGACCAGATGAAGATAATATGAAGGAAAAGGAGAATTAACATAAAGTTAGGGGTTGATAATAATGGCTCCTATGTGATTTTTCTGTTGCAGAACCTGCCAAAGATGCATCCAGATACGGGGTTACCCGCGCTCACTCAGACATTCAGGCCAAGTCCACCTTCTCCTACCGCCGAGAGCCAAGCAACTTTGAAGCTCCGACCAAGGAGTTCCAGCAGAAAGCTGCAAAAAGTCCAACATCACAGATTCACGAAGTACCAACAAAGGATACCTCAGATCCTACTCAGTTTGTCCCCTCCACACCCACGCCTCCTGTGGTCCAAAGCCACGCCTCCTTCACCATCGAATTTGATGAATGTACTCCAGGGAAATTGAAGATTAAAGACCATGTGACCAAGTTCGCCCTTCGGCAGCAGCGTAAGCAAACGTCCCCGGAGGCCCCCTCCACTCCCACAGAGGTCGTATCAGCAGAAAGCAAAGTGGCTGATTGGTTGGTCCAAAGCAACGCAAGCATGATGAGGAGAAAGTCGCAGGGGGAAAATTTATACAACATCAGCAGTCATTCATCAGATCTGAAAATAAAAAATGGTAAGACCTTTTATACAATCACTTAAGTTTGAATGAAATGGGAATTGTATTGCTTAAACTTTCTTTTTTTCTCCAGCAAACTACTACGAGAACGGCTCTCACATGGAGTTAGGGCCTCCCATCCTGAGTACTAATGAATCCCCCCCAACCGGACTTCAAGATGTGTTGCATGGTTCTCCAAAGACCTCCATTACTTCTCCAGGCTCAGAGGAACCTTTGTCTTCCTCTCCACCAGAGTCTCAGTCTCTTTCCAGTCTAAGCAAGGCAGAACCAAACCAGGCCTTTGTCATCGAGTTCTTTGACGCCAACGCAAAAAATAGGCGCTCTCAGTCCGGCACACAGATCACGTCCCCACCTGAGCCCTCAAACCTCCGAGTCCAGCAAGAGAAAAAGAGCTCAAGCCCTAATACACAGAGACACATCTCATCTTCATCGTCCCCCGCTCCCCCCACCCAGCGTTACACTATTCCACTGAAAGGACCCGATTCTTCAGGGTTTCAGAGAGCTGGCTCTCTACGAAGGGAAAAAACGGAAGACAGGATCAGCACAAGCTTTTCTTCTCGCTCTTCTTCATCAGTGTCTGTAAAACCTTTTAGCAGCGTCGGTCGGAGGTCCAAGCTCTCCAAGGAATTTAACGCTGAATTACTCAAACGGAAAGAAACGTTTTCCTCCAGCCCAGAGAAAATCGCTTCCAGTTCGCCTAAAACAACTAAAAGAGCATTGACGATAGTTTCACAGACAGAGCAGGACCCGTCCAGCTCTCCTCCATCTGATGGAGATCTCCACCCTCAGACTTCCTCCCCTGTCCACCCACCTGTCCCCATAAAAACCCCTTTAACACCTGCTGACACAGCAGAGGTCAGGAGCCCCAGAAATGAGGAGGACGACAGCGTCAGTGATGCAGGAACTTACACCATTGAAGCAGATGTTCATGACAAGGAGCTGGAAGAGGCAAGGGGCAAGATTGACCAGGCAAGTGTCTCCCCCTTATTTAACAATTCTTTGATGTTGCTTGAACTGAAGTATCCTCTTTGTTGTTTACCAGCATCTTCTCATATTCTGCCACGTGTGAGCCTGAAATGTTTGCAGTTTCACCTTCTTCACAGTTGCAATGCTTTGTTCTTGACAGGTGTTTGGTGTTGAGAGCCCAGAGCAAATGAAGCAGACTGAAGCAGAGGCCTCCTCAGCATTTAGGCCTGTTATTGATCAGGACAGGGAGGACAGTAGGCAGAGTAGCTGTGGGGAAGGTATTCCAGCTCCAGAGCAGGGACATAGTGTGGCAAAGGTAACCCCCTTCTGCTCTGGCTGGGGTTGGAAAATTCAAATCACTCAATCTGATTACATCTAATCAATATTTCAATCAGAGATGCATCGCTTAGAAATGTTTGGCCGATTTCAGATAACAGTATTTGTAAAGCTTTAAAATGCTGGTTTCTGTTTAAAGCTACGAGAAGCAAAAATGATTAGAAGTATTGAACTCTCTTAACACTAAAATAGGTACCATTTAAAAAAATCTTTGAATAACCTTACTGAAAAAAGTATGAATTTCAGTCATGAATTTAATCTGTGTACGATAAATATTGATGTCAGAAATTTGTTGATAGCAACACCCCACTTCCGTTTAAAGTTACTAATAAACCAGGCATCAACTACAGGTTTACTTATAAAAACAAATAGGATTTGTGTTGATATGGTATCTTATTGAAAAATGAAAACCTTGTATCTGTAAAAAGCTTTTGCAGATAGTCCTTTGTGTTAAGGGTCCCATATTATTCTGCATTTGAAAATGTAAAAAATACTAACATTGAGCCCCCAAAGCATGGTTCTGCTGTTTATGCAGGAAAATTCCTCTCAGATTAGGCAAACTCTTTAACAAAAATCTCCTTATTCGGCCCTCCTCCTGGTGAGCTGTTTGAGCTTTCCAGGCCCCCATCCTCCTGGAGGCTGCGCCCCAACAACCCGCTTACAAATACAGCCATAACAACCAGTCAGGGTTCATAAAGGTAGCCTAGTAGCACAGATAAAAACACAAGATAAAGGCCAGAGCTGACCGATGTTCTGCTACAGACCTTATGATATGTTTTTCAAACAGAGCATTTTGAGCATAAAGGCAAATGATAAAGGCAATAATAATCATGAAAGGTGTTTTTTTTTTTTTGGTTTTTTTTTTTTACTTTTTATTATTATTTGTGAATCTAGTACACAGGCTTCAGGAAACGCATGACTGTTTTAAAATGTTTATAGTGTGATTTTTGCTTAATATGGGACCTTTAAATATTTTTCATAGTAAATCTAGCAGGGTTTTAAGAAGAAATCATTTCTGTCAAATATTGTGATAATTCATAAGACAGCTTTAGAATAATTCAAAACATGGCCTAATAGATCTAAAATCTAAAAAATATTAACATCCATTTCAGGTCTTATTTCCATATAACATTTAAACCTCCAGTTGGCAGCGCGTCGCCCAATAGCCCATTATTCAGCTGCTCTGTACCGCCTCCAAGCAGCGACACAAGAGCTCTTTAAGTTTTCCATAGTTATATTATTATAATGATAAAATTCGCAATATATCTCCTTTGTTAGAGTATCAGGATATATGCATGAAGAGTGATCTTGGCGTAACCTCTAAGCAGATAGATGGGGTGTTTTTCCTGAACTATGAACGATCAGGGGTCTCATTTATCAATGACTGTGTAGGATCCATACTAAAAGGTGAAAATGGAGTACGGCAAAAAAAAAAGTGTATTTATGAAACTGTGTGCGAGCATAAAACCAAGCAGTCTTCCCTGATGGGTCACAAGGAAAGTTAAAAGTGCCATACATAAGTTTTAGCGCATGTTTTTTCTACACGGTAGATGTTATAGGAGAAATCTTCAGTTGTCTGATTCCGGTCATCCAATTTCTCGGTGCATCTCTAAGGTGGATAATCAGTATACAAAAACATCTTAATTTGGCCTCTTGATCTCTACTCTTTAAAGTGCGTGACTCTTGAATACTTTGATTATTTTTCTTGCTTCGAGGCTCTGGGTGCTTTCTGGTTGTTTTAGTTTTTTTCATTTAACCAAATTTTAAGAATTGTAGATTCTGTGATGCTTTACTAACAGGTGTCTGCTCTTTTAGCTGTGACTTCTTTAAGTTTTAAAGTTTTTGAACAATTGTTTGTTTTTCCTTAGGTTCAGGAGGCAGATGCTGTGGTACAGGGGGCTCCTAAGTGGATGTCTTGCTGGGCCAGCTTGGCTGACAGCTATACAGAATCAGGGCCTCCATCTGGCCTCTT